TGAAAATAGTTTTGACTGTTGACTGATAAGGCATGAAACAACTGTATATTATTAATATCATTATTGGGGTACACAGAGTGTTATACATCGTGTAATTTGGATATCTATATAAGGTACAGACAGTGTTCACGTGTCAATTTTATGTGTCTATATATAACGTTTTATTAATGTCTCTATTGGGGTAAGCACAGTGTTAACAACATGCAATTTATATTTCTAAACATTATGTTTATCAGGTACAAACAATGCTATATCAAATGTCATCTTTATCTGTTTATATAGGGTTACGACATTGCTATATCACGTGCAATTTATGTATCTATTTAAAGGTACAGACATTGTTATATTGCGTGTAATATATATGTATAGTTTTATCATGCTTAATTTATATTATACAATTATGGACTTTTGTGCTGGTGAATACGATGTGATATGAACATGAAAAAGTTATATTGACCGCGGCGAACCTCAAGTTTCTTAGTTTTACAAATTTTTTCATATGCTTGCCTTCGTGTAAAATTTAGCCAGGGTCACAAGTTAAATCCAACAGTTTGGCATCGTAGCTTTCGAAGATATCGCCAAGGTTCTTTTTTTTCTAAAGATAAGCATGGAGGACACTGTGTTAACAGCAATTTTATCTTCGAGTACGTAGTTTTTGGAGCCATTTTCTGTTGTCGACTGACAGATCGCGTTCCGTCTAAATGCGCATGCGCTACAGCAGGTTCCGGGGAATTTCTATATGAGGCAATATTTAGAGTATACCGGATACCCAGTCTTCATGATTTTTTGAGAACTAGTCACGTGGTCCAATGTGATTGCGAGAAATTTTCAGGCACACATTAAATCTATTTATCCTATGAATATCGTGTTCAATCATACATTAAATCTATTTATCCTATGAATATCGTGTTATGTGACATAAAGCCATCACATACATTATGTTTATTTATTACATACTTACTAATAAATACGGTTTTATTGCATATGCGATACGACACATTTGCTCTAACCCATATCAGCCCTCGCCGTATCACACCCCAAAACCCGTATCAGCCCCAGCCGTATCACGCCCCAAAACCCGTATCAGCCCGCAAAGTATGTAATAAACAGAATAAAACACGCCTTTCGTTTTTCAATGTTTCAAAAAAGAAAAAATAGATCATAAGATAGTAGTTTTTATTAGTAAGTATGTAATAAACAGAATAAAACACGCCTTTTTCCATATCACACCAAGTATCAACCCTCGACCAATATCAACTCTCGGGCCCTCGGCCCTTGGGCTGATATTGCAGTCTCGGGTTGATGCTGGGTCTGATATGGAAAAATGCATGTATTATTCTCTATTTATTACATACTTACTGATAAATACGGGTTTTTTGTATATGCGATACGACACAATTGCTCTAACCCATATCAGCCCTCGCCGTATCACACCCCAAAACCCGTATCAGCCCCCGCCGTATCACACCCCAAAACTCGTATCAGCCCGCAAAAACCCATATCATACCACTTTTGGATTTTTTTTCGTTTTTCAATATTTCAAAAAGAAAATTAAATCATAAGATAGTAGTTTTTATTAGTAAATATGTAATAAACAGAATAATACACGCCCTTTTCCATATCACACCCAGTATCAACCCTCGACCAATATCCGCCCTCGTGCCTTCGGCCCTTGGGCTGATATTGCAGTCTCGGGTTGATACTGGATGTGATATGGAAAAAGGTATGTATCATTCTCTATGTAACGTGTGAAATATCACTCCGGAAATGACGTCACAATCGAATAGAACAAATCAATGTGACGTCACGTCATTGTGAAGCGGACGCAACTTTAATCGTTTCAGAGGCGGCCAAGTGCAAAATATTTCAGATCACAATTATACAGTTTACTTTTTATCACATACCTGTTAAATCTTGTTATAGTAATACAAGCAATTTTCAGACCATGAAATACAACGTTCTGTATTGCACATGTGCAATACGGAATGTTGTGTTTACCTACTAGCCGGAACTACTTTTTATGGGAATCCCATTGTCATGGCGAACTGAAAGGTTCCCGGTATTTGCAAAAAATATATAAAGTTTAAAAAATATTTGTATCGATCTCTACCAAATACGGAAGGTATGTGATAAAAGCAAGACCACACACTTGTGTTTTTCTAACGAATCAGAAAGCACGAGTTTATTGCGCGGACATATTCACTCGTGAGCTCGGCGCACTCGTGAATATATTCGTTCGTGCAATAAACTCGAGCTCGTGCTTTCTGATTCGTTAGAAAAACACAAGGGTGTGGTCTTGAATATGTATTATATGATAAAAAGAGTCTGTCATTCGTTTCCCTTCATAAAATGAAAAGGCAAAGCCTTAAAAGAGCGTAACTTTTGTTGATCTCTGATATTTACTGATTCAGAATACTATTTTCAGAATGAGATAAGATAAACTTTATTTAAAGTCGGCTAGTCGAGGAATAAGAATAAAACATAAGCTCTGATGAGAGTAAGACCGACATAATAATAGGAGAGGTCGGGACAAGTTCTGCCTATTTTTTTTATTTTTTTTTATTAAAGTCCGTTCTGGGAAGTATGGCAGCACCCGTTTTTGAACATTATTTAATTTTCCCTGTCGGAAGATCGGATGGCCGAACGAGCCCCGCCATGGGATAAGTTCGGACAGGCATTTGGGTAAGTTCGACCCACGTTGGAATCAGCTTTATTATTTAGGGGATAGTACGTTGTTTTGAGTGGCTATACTGGCGATTAGAACATGAAATTTGGGTTTGAACTCGAGACCGCTAATATGTTTAGAAACATTGTATTTCCTTGTACAAAAGTACTTTGTGACCTGAACTGGCGACGTGTCATTCTGCAGCGGACTGACCAATCGGAAAGAAGCTTTCAAAAGTCGGTCATTTAGCCCCGCCCATACTGGCGAGAGCTCGATCTGTATGTTGACGAGGCGGAATATTTGGATTGTTCGTGAACGTCCTGTTACCAAAGTTTATACGATACATTCGGATTAATATTGAACAAGTTCTTATATATTTCCATATCAGTATGCATACCAATCTGTGCTTCTCGACAAAATCGGTGATTATTTGTATAGATTTGTGAAGAGTTTTGTGTAAATGCATACGACACATGTGAAATGTTTCATTTGAGTTCGGATCTAAATAGATGCCTTCACACGGATGGAACGAACGTTTCAGTAATAAATGGAGGTAAGAACAAGGAATGTGTTCTTTTATTACTTTTTAATTCATTCAACAAATGCATTTCATCGGTCGTTTCTGTTCTGTTGCCTACTAGCCTTATCAGCGGGATTTCGCTATGAGGCGAGCTTGACGCCATATTGTTTTTGTTAGAAACGGGGCNGATGTTATAAAGCATGCAACGCCAGACTTTACCGCCAATTTTACGACTTTTTATTTGATACATGGGCCGAACTTGCCACGGTATTAACGGCCGAACCTGTCCGGGCCCAAATTGATATTTCAGTAAATTCTTATCGTAGAGCCATATGGTAGTGAGTGCTTGGCTTGGCTTTTATGTACATATCATTTGAAGCTGTCAGTGTGTTACACGATTGACCTTAAAAAAGGAGCAATTCCGTTTACAGTAAATTCGCATAAGTAAAAGCGAGATCATGATTTTCTTTCTACCCTCCCAACGAAATTTTCTCCTGTTTAGTAATTTTACATTAGAGTTTTCCTCGCCATTTTTTCGTGTGAATGCCCAGCCAACTAAACTGCTATGATCCTTAGAGCTGTAAATATTAGCTCAAAACAAAAATATACAGTCTCCCGTATGTAGATCTTTTGTGTCATTGATGATTGGTAAAAATGTATTCACAATATAAATTTGTTGCATCAATGACGCCATTTTCTTCCAGTCAACAGTCTAAAGTCATCGTCGGTTTCCAGGGGTTACGCTCACTTTCGCTAGCGTTGGTGATCGTAACCCCTGGAAAACGAGGATGCGCTAAAGTAGATACTAGGTCGGTTAACATTGGCGCAGTGAATAGCGCGCTCGTCTTCACCAAGATGGCCGGATTTAATCCCGGTTACCTGCCCGACCACGCGGGTTTTCTTAGGATACTCTATCATCCTCCCACATAAAGAATTGAGTCCTCTGCGTATATAATGATTGAGATAAATTGGGGAAAAAACTGTTTGGTAATTGCTATAGAAAAAAGTGCATATTACATATTTGACGATAAGTCTTAAGTAAACACTGTGGTCAAACGGCACTGTAAAGGATCCGGAAATAGCGATCGCCGAAGCGAGGCAGATTATTGAAGATCACAGCATGCTTGTGATCATAGACATGTTTTCGGTATACTATCATCATTACGAAGGTGGGTACAAATCAATTAGTGTAATAGTAGATCAACCTTTGTTACGAACTTGAAATATTAGCACATTAAAATATAACGAATCAGTGAGGTTATCACGGCCAAAAGTCAACAATATCACAGAATATGTCAACAATTAACTCACAGATTTCCTTTGACTCATGATTTATGTATTTTTTCATAATTCAATGATTTATAAATTCAAAACACACATTAACTAAAACATTTGTGTTTTTAAACATAAAATAAATAATGATTGTAAATAGCACCTGGACATACTACTGTATGGATACTAGCAACCAGACTGTATGATAATAGCAATTGCTTCTTTATATTACTGTATGGTTTATTGGATTATTACATTTTGTCTGTTGGTGGAATAAACATTTTTTCTCTCACACAGATGGATAATTTCGAGTTCAGTTACTGCAAAAAGAGCTTTACAGAGATTAGTGAAATAATTGAATTGAGGTTTTTGAAGTAAAACCAATTTTCATGATGTAATACTTACAATAACTTTAGTATGCATCTACAATACCTACACCCACCTTTGTAGCCCAAAACCAAAAACTGCAAATATCCCTACCTCCCTACCGTGACGTAACCCATATCTCGACGACAGAGCCACGGATCGATCTCCCTTCCCCAAACCCCTTTCATGGAGCCTAAAGGCAGCCGGGATGAGGATGCAAGGGAAGGAATACAGGATGGGACTCCATAAAATTATGGTAAGTATTACATCATGAAAATTGGTTTTACTTCAAAAACCTCAATTTCATTTCAGTAATAATTACCATAACTTTAGTATGCGAATTCGTCTTACCGTAGTGGAGGCTCCGAATCCAGGCAGACCAGGCTGACGGAACAAACTCGAGACATGCTCAAGGTAGGGAAAAGGTTCAAGGAACCCCCCTAATAAAGCCCCGAAAGTAATTAAAAAATGGAAAACCTCCCCGTGAAACGAGCAGGTGTACCACCGTGGTGCCTGATAGCATACTATTTAAAATCACTGAATTACTGTAGAGGAACAGCCACAGACTGTGCAACCACTACCGGTCAAAGGGAATACAATCCATCAGAATGAGAAGCCAAGGACCGGAGATAAAAATCCATGAAGGTAGTCTGTCCGCGCCATAAAGCCGCGGACATGACCTCCTGAAAGGGGGACCCATTGAGGAGGGCCCATGACGCAGCAAGGGCCCTGATCTCATGAGCTCTCACCTTATACAACGCCCGAACCTGATCATCCATCGGTGGAAGTGCGATGCCCTGAACCGTATTGAAACGGTTCCCCAGAAAAACCAAAATCCTGAGATGGGGAAACCTTCGACTTTTCTCTGAATGAAGTCGACCCTGAGTAAGACTTTCAGAACCAACCTGCACCAGGGACTCTCTCACTAGGTGGAGCATGAGGGAATCGTCGAAATAGATGTGAACATTTATTCCTCGAACGGCATGGCCCGGAACTGGAAGACCTTTCCGTTGCAAGTAAAACGTAGCGTACTTCCGTGCCGACTTCTTGATGGGGATGTGGAAGTAGGCGTCCTTCAGATCTACTAAAGTCGCCCACATTTCCTCTACCCAGAGGAGTCTCCATCTTGAAGTGAGGAGAATCTACGTGCTTGTTGAAGGCACTTAGATCTATGATGGGACGCCACGCCCCGGACTTCTTCCGAACCAGAAACATCCTGGAGTCGAACCCGGGAGTGCATACCGACATAGGAACCTCCTCGACCGCGCCCTTGGTAAGCATGGTCCTTGCTTCCTTCTGGAGCGCCAGAGCCTTTTACGGATTGCCTGGTGGAGGAAAAAAACAGAACTGCTAACACGTCTCCGCGAGGGAGAGACCAAACACCAAGGATTCCACGACGGAAGAGCCATGGGGTTAAACTTATATCCCGGAGAGGATAGGGGAAAGGTCCCGCGGACTGGGAGTGACCCCTGAACTGGCCAAACTGGCCTGCCTGCGCGTCACTAATCCATCTAGACACAGATAATCCCGAAAGTAAGTCTGTAGTCACACAAGAACCTGAACCCGAAAGAACAGGCCCGGCACCAAGACTGTCCAAGACGATAGCACCGTGCACCTGGAATGCCTGGATCACTGACAAAGTCAGTGACCGGCGGCAGGTAGTCCCTACCCGAAGGCAAGCGCGAAAGCTTACGGGCGCCCGGCCAATTCAACCCTGGGCTGTGCCAAGCCAGGGTCGGGCTGCCCCTCCCCTCCTCCAGGGACTTCATGGACAGGAAAGGCCACCCCTGCTCACGAGAGGGACTCGCCGCAGCGAGACCCCCCCGAGACAGGAACAGAGACAGTTCCACCAGACCCCAAAGAGCTGGTGACACGACCCCTACCTCTCTGCTTCCCTCGCTTACCGGAAGAAACAGACGAATCACTCTTACGGTAAGTTGATGGTAGCTTTGGGTATAAGGCACACAAATTGCGCAATAAATTGAGTTGAGTTTTGAAATGTAGCTAGCTCCGAGCGTCAGCAGGCAGCAGGCGCCATAAAAGGAAGAGGAAGGGAGATCACTCCGTGGCTCTGTCGTCGAGATATGGGTTACGTCACGGTAGGGAGGTAGGGATATTTGAATCTTTTGTTTTTGAGCTACAAAGATGGGTGTAGGTATTGTATATGCATACTAAAGTTTTGGTAATTATTACTGAAATGAAACATTGTATTCAAGACCACGGTGAACTTAGGAAGAACGGTTAAACAAACGAAGAACTTTCTTATAGTTCCAGAAGAGATAAGTCTCATATATATATATATAAATGTGTTATATATACCAAACGATGAAAACTGCAGCGTAGGGATACAAAGACTTCATCCACTTTTATGTTCCCCGTTTAGAAAAATCAACCCAACAGTGACCTGAGAATGTTTTGCAGCTATATTTGGACATAAACTAAGGTGTTCATAGTAATTTGATATGAAACATAACAAATTACAGGCGTTTAGATTTACTGTCGGTAAATTTGCCGTTCGAACCCCAGTCTGACCGTTCCATTTTCTCGTTCTCCTGTTGCTAAATTTGCGAGCTTGCCAACCCCTTACTTTGGGGTCGAAGACTTTGTTGATGGAGGGAGGAATGTAGCGGAACTGGACTGGGTCGATCGTTGGCGACCAGGTAGCTCAATGAGTTAGAGCGTCCGTCTAGAGTTCGGAGGGTTCCGGGTTCGAGCCCCGGTCTGGCCGTTGCATTTCTCTTTCTCTTGTTACACATCTAATATACATGAGTGAAAAAAGTCCATCACTTAAAACTGGCGAGGAAAACTTTAATGTAAAACTAAATAACAGGAGAAAGATACATTTGAGAGGTCACAAAGAAAATCATCATGTCCCAAATTATGCGGACTTTCTGTAAACGGGATTACTACGTTTTTGCTCATGCTAATGTTCGGAAGGGAACCCCTCCTTCTAGTTGAAATAGCTTTTGGACTCACCAGAAATACAGGGAGAGCAAAGCCAACCACGCTTACACCAAACAGATGAAGGAGCGCCTGAAGAAAGCTTATGACCTGGCACAAAAACAAATCAACAAGGCACAGACCAGGCAGAAAGTTGGCTATGACCAGAAAGTGCGAGGTGTTGTCCTAGAAACAGGTGATAATGTACTGGTAAAAGTTGTCGCGTTTGATTGGAAACACAAAATAGTAGACAGGTGGGAGGAGGAACTGTATACCATTCTGAGCCAACCCAATGACGAGGTACCTGTGTAAATAGTACAGAGACAGGATGGTACTGGAAGGAAAAGGACAATCCACAGGAACCTACTGTTACCTGTAGGACTGGTACCCAAACAGGATACACCAATTCCAGAACCACCTGCGGTCACCGACAGGAAACCACGACATAAGCCTGCACCTAGGCAGAAACCCAACATCGTTGTGATAGAGAATGATGACCCCTATCAGGATGACAGTGCTGAAGAGGTTACATTTGAAGTCACACCTCATGGATTGGTTGATTCCTCCGAGATACCGGCGGAACAGGACAACCAGACAGAAGATGATACCCCCTCGGACACTGGTGACGACCAGTTAATACAGGATAGGGAGGATGCAGATAAAATGCAGCAGCCCTTACCAATGGAGGAGGATCAGGGAGAGGAAGCACAAAACGAGTCTCCTCATGCAGACTCGGAGAGCAGTGACCAAGAGGAAGTTACCCCTCGACCCAAATGTAACAAACTGCAACCAAAATGGATGCCGAGTGGACAGTACGTCTTGAGCCAGCAGCAGCTGGGTAGAAATTACATCAGGGATCTAGCTAAGTCAGGTGTGTTTAGAAATGCTCAGAATGACCTCACTCGAGCACATCTGAAGGTGGTTACGGACAATAGTGTGACTTAAATTTGTTTTCAGAAACCTAACCTGTTGCCAAGTAATATAATTTTGGCGCATTTTGTTTGAGAACTGAAATACTGCTATGTTAATATATCTTTTGATTTTTAGCCACATATATGCTACATGATCCGTGTATGCACATTGATTGAAATAGAATCCCTTGATTTGGTTCAATTATTTTCAGATGCCGATGACGACATCTTAAAGCAGGGGGAGAATGTGACAGGGTTAAAATCTTAAGAGCGTATACAGTAAGTTTTAATTCTAAGTGTTGTATTATTTTATTAGCATAAATCAGCATCATCATCAACACATCATTTTACCATGTGTTGTCCAAGTACTGTCCATGTATATATGTCATTCTGTGTGTACTTACCTGTAGTGATCTGAAAGGTGTGTGTGTGTGTGAGTGGTGGCGAGCCCACTTTACCTGTAGTGATCTGAAAGGTGTGTGTGTGTGTGAGTTGTGGCGAGCCCACTTTACCTGCATAGGTATATACAGGTAAGCATATACTTCTATTAGTGGAACCTTCTAATTGGTCACCAGACATAAGATAATAATACCATTGGTGAAATATTGAACTAAACATGTTTTTATTCGTCCTCATTTTCCCTCCACTTTTTGTCTGTAAGAAAGATATATCTTTGTGTGATTTGGCACTTTCGAGTCAGATCTTGGAGAAGCCACAGGGGCTTACTTAGCTCTACTATTTTACTATTTTTGCTGAACCTGGACATGGCTTCATACTCCTGTAAGTTTCTATTTTTCCTCTCTATTAACATGTTGTTTGTATAATGTTGTAAAATATGTAATTGCTACTTTTTGAATGAAATTGAGTCTGACAAAATGTTGGAAGACTGAAAGTTGAATTTAAAGTAATGCAAATATGGTGTAAAAAGTTAAACTGTTTAAACATAAACTATTTTCATGCATTTATTGTATTTCTGCAGTAACTGAGATTGATGAGATATCTTGGCACATGTATTGGGTTTATTTTGGTGTAGATGTTTTAAGAGTAAGAACTATTTGTAACATGTAGTATTTTATTTATGCATAGGACCCTGGGTCGACTGAATATTGATAACATTTTGGAAGAGTCTAGGAATTCGCCCCATAGCCAGGTACACATATATCTATATATAATTGCGAAGTTTTTATTTTGAGTATCATTCCAAGTTAATGCTAAATGTTATGCTGATGGTAGATTATCTCCCCTGAGACTGTATTAAGATTGTGTTAAGGTTTTTAAATCTAACAATTTGTGTAAAGGTTATTAAATCTAAGGTTATTAAATCTAACATGTTGTGTAAAGGTTATTAAATCTTACATATTGTGTAAAGGTTATTAAATCTAACATATTGTGTAAAGGTTAATAAATCTTACATATTGTGTAATGGTTATTAAATCTAACATATTGTGTAAAGGTTATTAAATCTAACATATTGTGTAAAGGTTATTAAATCTTACATATTGTGTAAAGGTTATTAAATCTAACATGTTGTGTAAAGGTTAATAAATCTAACATATTGTGTAAAGGTTATTAAATCTAACATATTGTGTATTGTTAGAATAATATGGTTTCATAGACTATTTGAAGTAACATTGAATAAATAGGGTCATATGTATGTATGTGTGTATATAATGTATGTATGCATGCATGTGTGTATTTATGTATTGATGGAAGTATAGATGTAAGAGATATTTATGTCATCTAAATGTGTTTTATTTGTAACTGTTACAGAATTCAGGATAAACGTATTTATGTATAAGGATATCTGAAAATATAAAAGATGAAACAGACAGATATTGATGCATGGAATTTGATGATCGAAGTGCAAGAATAAACATGAACTGATTTGTACAGTCTTTGTGAGTTCTTCAAACATTCACTAGGAACTAACCCAGCCCAGTTACACATACATAAATTATGCAAAGACTATAACCAGACTTTGAAAAATGTTAATTATTTCGTTTATATTCTCAACAATTGGAAATCAAAAGCTGATAAAATTTTAGACGATAAAAACTAAATGTACACGTTGACGTAATGGTTTAATGAATCTCTTTTTGAAGATATCTCCCGGTAGAAATATTACCAGAACCTGATTGATGACAAAAAAAGGATCTTATATTATCCGCATGTTAACGTTTTGTGCCTGTGGGAAAACTGAAATAAAAAGTCATGAAGCACCGATAAAGAGATAAATGCAACGGACATCAGTTCCAAGATTTTCCGGTTATTTTTCATCCGTCCTGAAATAACCGATGAAAGCCAATGGAGTGTGACGTGCTTGTGACGTCATAGAATAATAATCTCTGATCTGAACGTAGTCACATGCCTGATACATGTACTTTTATACAAATATTTCATGACTTACTGTGCGCTAGTCCAGAATATTTGACACGAGGTGGTGGTAATAAATTAAGCATTGAACTGTTTTTGTATGGTATTTATGATCTATTTGAATGACACAGCTTTGCAACCAAACAAATCATAATGCGCGCAATGGTATTTATGATCTATTTGAATGTCACAGCTTTGCAAGCAAACAAATCATAATGCGCGCCAGTATTGTCGCGTGCTGATTGGCAAACAAAGTAGTACTTTGAAATTTTAACAAACACTTCAATTTTATTCCACAATTCAGTATCAATACAATTGCGTATGATATGTATATAGGGTGATTTAAGTTTATCAATAGAACTCTGAGCTGAAAGTTAGATTTAAAATTGTTTCGATTTTTCCCCGGAACAAATTTCGCGCATGGACAAATACAGTGAACACCGTAAATCCGACCTTGCCCACCACGAGGGAGTTATTTTTGGAAGTTAATTCGAACTTTTTTCTCTTTGCTCATTTTGTTAAGAATCCAGACGTGAATTTATGTGTTGATTGTATGGGAACATTGACAACATTCGCTAGATTCTATAACAGCCTCGTTTTTTGACAATTTCGTCAGAAACTGAGGAAAGGTGGATGCGAGACGCGTGAAACTGATAGCGTTTGAAGTGAGTGATCTTGCGACGGAGCACAGGTTCGTTACAAATGTCTGAAATGTTTATGTGTGCTGTGACTCATATCAGTAGGTCTGTAACATATGTGTCAGTAGGTCTATAGAATATGTGTATTTCAGACATTTGTAACGAACCCTAGCTGTTGATCAGTGCAGTGTAACAGACGATATTTCTGATAAATTGGTTGAACGTTAAAAGTGTTTCCATTGCTGGCATTGGTGATTTCAACCGATTTGCATTATGTACGATATTGCAGACCTCGGTCTTGTTTTTGTTGTAATGAAAGTATTTTTTTATATTTTCTTTTTTCTCTTACACATCAATTTACAATTGCATTGTCAAGTCTCACAATGCCCAGCGATATTTCCGCAGCCGTCATGTTTATTGTAATTTCGGTCAGTGTTGTATTAATACGCTAAGAATTGTGTCTCGTGATGCATGGTAATTAAAGTCCCATCAACGACACAGCTTTCAAAGAGGCTATATAGTGACAATGCCTTGCAAATGTAAATATGAAGTGTTATATCGCACAAGGCCGTAGAACGAGTGCAATATAACACTTGTTGATTACCACCACCGAGGGGCAAATATTCGGGACTAGCGCACATGTACAGTAAGCATCAGATATTTGTTTTATTACATAATCAAACTCAAACTAGGGTGTTAAAATGCTAAATGTTTTTATTTCTTAAACAGTTCTACCTAACGGTAGTAAACATAGGATTTAGCAATAACATCAGCAAAAAGCGCGGCGTCCGAGTTAGCTTCCATTTGATGTTTATAAAATGTAACAGTAACAGGTAACAACAACAATGTTCTGGAACAGTCTAGTGGTAATGGACAGGGACTGCCCCGACTGTTCATTACAGTCTGATGCTGTACACTTTTGGGGATGTGAATCACAGGGGCTTGTCGTGGAGCTGGCGCCAGGCTGGTCGGTAAGGTGTTCGTAATCTCCTGGAGCAACTGGGTCTCCTGGCTGTCTGTCAGTGCCAACAGGTCCATGTCGGATAATTATTCGGTTTTCGATGTCATTATCTCCAAGCTACGTCCTTCTGCCCTCTAGAAAGAACTAAATATTCGGAATATTGTATGGCCTTTTTGGTGTTTTTACTATCCGCTGATTCCAATAAATCGGCAAAAAAATGTCCAGCACTTGAAAAAAACGCCCGTCGCCTGCCATTGTTTATGGTTGTTAGGGAGCGCGTCCGGCGTCACTAAAGCGCTTTGATTTTACCATGGACGAAGTCGGAATCTGAGTCAAGCGTCATTTGTGAAAAACCGTGCAATATCAAACGCAAATAGTGCACGGCAAATCCGGAATATTGCACGGTGCGGTAACGTTTTTGGAAAATGCTCAAAATAGTCGAAAATATGTTATTTCAGCATATATAGGAAAAGGTCAGTGAATTAGGAAATAACATAATTTATGTGATAGCTTTTTTTTTCACTCAGAATGTATATTAGATTTTATCTAAATAAAAAAGTAATAAAACATGAGGATTGTTTTCACTATATGAAAATGTTCGTGTATGGTTGAAACACAATTCAAGGGTACACTTCCGGACGATAATTTTTAAAGGCAATGTGTAGCAAGGGGAAGCAACTCTGTTTACGCACGCATGTGTTACCATTAAAGAGCCTTCGTCGCCCGAGAGCTACGCTCTTATAAGATTCGTTTTGGATTTTTCATATTTGCTCGCCAGAGGCTCGCAAACATAAAAAATCCAAAACTTACAACAGATCCTCTGTTGTAGACACATATAGTGTAATGTCATATATGTAATTTACATATACTTTTGTATATGTATACACAGGTACAGACAGTGGTATATCAGCTGTATGTCTTCTATACGTCAAGCATGCTGTCGAGTGTTCTGTCCGTGCTGTATTTTTGACAACCCTCGAAAAATACCGAACAACTGCTGTGGACGGCTTTGCACTGACGGGACATATGAAAATGGAGTTATGAAAAATGTTTTTGGTAAGAACACATCAGTTTGATTTACGTTCTTTTGAATTTTCAGGATGTTTATACAGGGGCGTTTCTAGGATATTTGAAAGAGGGGGCGTAAAATCAAATCAAAAATTTTTGGACCTTTTTTTTGCTAAAAAACATAAAATAATTGTGAAATGCACTAATGTAACGGTTCCTGACTTGGAGCATGTATATTTTATAGTTAAAGTGTCAGGGTGTTTATGTGTTTAATTAATGAATATGATAAATTGCCATATTCAATACAATATTAGCAGATTACGATAGTTTTTTTTTTCTTTTTGAAAAGGGAGGGGGGGGGGGGGGGGGGGGGGTACGCCCATTACGCCCTCACCTGGACCCGCCCCTGTTATATGTATACAGTTATCTAATTCCCTCCCCTGGTGTAATAAAAAAAACACTATTTAACTAGAGGTGATGTAGTAAAACCATGTTTTGGAAGTGACTCTCCTTCTGTCTTTCTCTGTCAGCCAGTCAATGAGTCAGTCTCTCTCTGACAGAGCAAGTCAGTGAGTAAGTCTAGTTCTGTCAGCAAGTCAGTAAGTCAGTCTCTCTCTGTCAGTCATTCAGTGAGTCAGTCTCTCTTTGTCAGCAAGTCAGTGAGTCAGTCCCTCTTTGTCAGCAAGTCAGTGAGTCAGTCTATCTCTGTCAGCAAGTCAGTAAGTCAGTCTCTATCTGTCAGTCATTCAGTGAGTCAGTCTATCTCTGTCAGCAAGTCAGTAAGTCAGTCTCTCTCTGTCAGCAAGTCAGTGAGTCAGTCCCTCTCTGTCAGCAAGTCAGTGAGTCAGCCTCTCTGTGTCAGCCAGTCAGTGAGTCGGTCTCTCTCTGACAGCCAGTCAGTGAGTCAGTCTCTCTTTGCCAGCCAGTCAATGAGTCAGTCTCTCTCTGACAGCCAGTCAGTGAGTCAGTCTATCTCTGTCAGCAAGTCAGTAAGTCAGTCTCTCTCTGTCAGTCATTCAGTGAGTCAGTCTCTCTTTGTCAGCAAGTCAGTGAGTCAGTCCCTCTCTGTCAGCAAGTCAGTGAGTCAGCCTCTCTGTGTCAGCCAGTCAGTGAGTCAGTCTCTCTTTGTCAGCAAGTCAGTGAATCAGTCTTTCTCTGTCAGCAAGTCAGTGAGTCAGTCTTTCTTTGTCAGCCAGTCAATGAGTCAGTCTCTCTCTGACAGCCAGTCAGTGAGTCAGTCTATCTCTGTCAGCAAGTCAGTAAGTCAGTCTCTCTCTGTCAGTCATTCAGTGAGTCAGTCTCTGTTTGTCAGCAAGTCAGTGAGTCAGTCCCTCTCTGTCAGCAAGTAAGTGAGTCAGCCTCTCTGTGTCAGCCAGTCAGTGAGTCAGTCTCCCTCTGTCAGCCAGTCAGTGAGTCAGACTCTCAATGTCAGCCAGTCAGTGAGTCAGACTCTCAATGTCAGCCAGTCAACTTAACAGCCTGGCCCTGTCAGATAGTAAGTGAGTCAGTCTCTCTCTGTCAGCAAGTCAGCCTCTCTGTGACAGCCAGTCAGTTATTCAGTCTCTCTCTTTCAGTGAGTCAGTCTGTCCTTATCAGTCAGTCATTGAGTCAGTCTCTTTCTGTCAGCCAGTCAGTGAGTCGGTCTCTCTCTGTCAGTCAGTCAGTAAGTCAATCTGTCTCTGTCAGCCAGACAGTCCCTCTCTGTCAGTTATTCAGTTTGTCAGTCCTTTCTGTTAGCCAGTCAGTGAGTCGGTCTCTCTCTGTCAGCCAGTCAGCTAGTCAGTCTCTCTCTGTCAGTCATTAAGTGAGTAAGTCTCTCTCTGTCAGCCAGTTAGTGAGTCAGTCTGTCAGCCAGTCAGCTAATCAGTCTGTCAGTCAGTCAGCTAGTCAGTCTCTCTCTGTCAGTCATTCAGTGAATCAGTCACTCTCCGTCAACCAATTAGGGAGTCAGACTCCCTCTGTCAGCCATTCAGCGAGTCAGTCTTTCTCTGTCAGCAAGTCAGGTAGTCAATCTCTATCTGCCAGCCAGTCAATGACTCAGTCTTGCTCTGTCAGCCAGTCATTTTGTCAGTCTTGTTCTGTCAGCCAATCAATGATTCCGTCTCGCTCTGTCAGTCAATCAATGATTCAGTCTCGCTCTGTCAGTCAATCAATGATTCAGTCTCGCTCTGTCATCCAGTCATTGAGTCAGTCTTGCTATGTCAGCCAGTCGCTGAGACAGTCTTGCTATGTCAACCAGTCACTGTGTCAGTCCTGCTATGTCAGCCAGTCACTGTGTCATTCCGGCTATGTCAGCCAGTCACTGTGTCATTCTTGCTATGTCAGCCAGTCACTGTGTCATTCCGGCTATGTCAGCCAGTCACTGTGTCAGTCCCGCTATGTCAGCCAGTCGCTGAGACAGACTTGCTATGTCAACCAGTCACTGTGTCCGTCCTGCTATGTCAGCCAGGCTCTGTGTCAGTCTTGCTATGTCAGCCAGTCGCGGAGACAGTCTTGCTATGTCAACCAGTAACTGTGTCAGTCCTGCTATGTCAGCCAGTCATTGAGTCAATCTCGGTCTGTCAGCCGGTCACTGAATCAGTATCGCTATGTCAGCCAGTCACTGTGTCATTCCTGCTATGTCAGCCAGTCACTGTGTCAGTCCTGCTATGTCAGCCAGGCTCTGTGTCAGTCCTGCTATGTCAGCCAGTCACTGTGTCAGTCCTGCTATGTCAACCAGTCACTGTGTCAGTCCTGCTATGTCAGCCAGTCATTGAGTCAGTTTCGCTCTGTCAGCCAGTCACTGAATCAGTATCGCTATGTCAGCCAGTCATTGTGTCAGTCCTGCTATGTCAGCAAGTCACTGTGTCAGTCCTGCTATGTCAGCTGGTCATTGCGTCAATCTCGGTCTATCAGCCAGTCACTGAATCAGTATCGCTATGTCAGCCAGTCACTGGGTCAGTCCTGCTATGTCAGCCGGGCTCTGTGTCAGTCCTGCTATGTCGGCCAGTCACTGTGTCAGTCCTGCCATGTCAGCCAGTCACTGTGTCATTCCTGCTATGTCAGCCAGTCATTGATTCAATCTCGGTCTGTCAGCCAGTCACTGAATCAGTCTCGCTATGTCAGCCAGTCACTATGTCAGTCCTGCTATGTCAGCAGGTCACTGTGTCAGTCCTGCTATGCCAGCCAGTCACTGTTTCAGTCCTGCTATGTCAGCCAGTTACTGTGTCAGTCCTGCTATGTGAGCCAGGCTCTGTGTCAGTCCTGCTATTTCAGCCAGTCATTGAGTCAGTCTGGCTCTGTCAGCCAGTCACTGCGTCAGTCCTGCTTTGTCAGCCAGTCATTGAGTCAGTTTCGCTCTGTCAGCCAGTCACTGTGTCAGTCCTGCTTTGTCAGCCAGTTACTGTGTCAGTCCTGCTATGTCAGCCAGTCATTGAGTCAATCTCGGTCTGTCAGCCAGTCACTGAATCAGTATCGCTATGTCAGCCAGTCACTGTGTCAGTCCTGCTATGTCAGCCAGTCACTGTGTCAGTCCTGCTATGTCAGCCAGTCATTGAGTCAATCTCGATCTGTCAGCCAGTCACTGAATCAGTATCGCTATGTCAGCCAGTCAATGACTCAATATTGCTTTGTCAGCCAGTCATTCTTGCTATGTCATCCAGTCATTGAGTCATTATTGCTATGTCAGCCAGTCATTGAGTCAATCTCGGTCTGTCAGCCAGTCACTGAATCAGTATCGCTATGTCAGCCAGTCAATGACTCAATATTGCTTTGTCAGCCAGTCATTCTTGCTATGTCAGCCAGTCATTGAGTCATTATTGCTATGTCAGCCAGTCATTGAGTCAATCTCGGTCTGTAATCCAGTCACTGAGTTTGAGTCTCGCTATGTCAGCCAGTCAATGACTCAATCTTGCTCTGTCAGCCAGTCATTGAGTCAGTTTCATTGATCATTAGCCGGTCAGTGATCCTTCCTTTATCCCGTTTGTCTGTTTTGTTTTTTACTCGAACTTTCATACTATTTCTTTTCGGCAGTTGTCCTATATGCACCCTTTTATACGACCGTCAAATTTGACGGTAGTAGATATTATGGTATGGCGTTGTCCGTCCGTCATAAACTTTGAATGTCCGGCAATCTCCTCCTACATTTTTCGACTGATCTATTTGAAACTTGGTATACATTATAATCATGATATGAAGTTGTGTCGCCATTGAAAGAATTTTGATTCGACAGTTTTTTTTAAAAAGTTATTGCCCTTTGTTAATTTCTGTATTTGAATTTTGTCCAGAGATCTCCTACATTTTTCGACTGATCTCTTTGAAACTTGGTATACTTTATAATTATGATATGAAGTTGTGTCTCCCTTAAAAGAATTTTGATTCGGCGATATTTGCAAAATTTATTGCCTTTTGTTCATTTCAGTTTTTGATTTTTTGTCTGAAGATTTTCTCCTACATTTTTTATATCATATCAGCTAACCACTCTTAGAATGATGCAGATCTTATTTCAATGTAAAAAAGTATATCTTACTATATGCCATTCGACGGGCGTATTTTGTTCTGCCCCGCGGTACTCTTGTTTATATTCCCATTGGCATTGCAAGGAAACAACTATTTACTCCCTATGTAACTCTATTTTTAGGTTTGGTATTGGGGATCTTAGCCACTCTCATCATTTACCTCGTCATGGTTTTCCAGTTCAAGTTCCATGCTTTCACCGCCGGGATTCTGGCCTCTGTGATTGGTGTATTTGTAACCAATGGAATGGCATTCTCTTCCGGGATGCGATGCATTGCGTTTCTGACAGTCCCACAACTGTTCTCAAGTAATTTTATTAAGAAAATTAAAATGAGTTATACGGATTTGTGCACCCTTCCCAAACTTTCCTCCCCTGTATCTAGATCTCCTTAACATTATTGTTATTAACCTGTTAAATATCAATATCACCATGTTCTATTGCTGATATTTTTTAGATCGAATGCGGATATTTTTAGTTCTTAATGAATATATTAAAATAAACACATTTATGAATATATTGCGGTGATTCAGTAAATCAAATCAATGGATGACAGATTATAATATCTATAGTTATAGTGTACATGTGATATTGGGTAGCGTCACACTTTGTCATCCATCAGGTACGGGGCGGTACTTCCTATTGATGTACGTCATGATACTGGTGATGTCATATCCGGTGAAAAACTTCAACCACAACATCGTGGTAATGTCGGAAAGTTCCACATGCGGTCAACAGATGGCGTACAACCAGACAAAGGAATTGGTCGACGCTGCTGTAGCACCAATTGCAGGTACATTTATTAGCATGCATATAATTTACTTGAAGCTAAAACCCAGTGTCGATCCTGACGTTGCAAATTTTGACATACAAAAATGTAAGATTAGAGTTATTCACAGTTTTGTTACCCAGGAAACTCACGTTCTGCTCGCTTCGAACAATTTTCTGGAATAAGTTTATTTTTAGGTAAAAGGGATTTGTTATCACAAGAGGACACATTAACATTATTATTGAAAAGCTTTATTATTGAAAAGCCTGTTGAAGAGAACTCTCCGATTGCTGTTTAAAAACATTGTTCTCTCCTTTGTTTTCCTGGTCAGAGTCGGTTTTCTTGACACCCATTTACTATTAAAATAGACAAAGAATACCTTAGCATAAATATACCAATCAATGTCAGGTATAGCAGCCTCCATAAACTTATGCTACTGTGAATGTCAGGACAATCAGCCTCCATTATATCCTGCTACTGTAAATGTCGGGAAAAGCAGCCCCCATAAACTTATGCTACTGTGAATGTCAGGATCATCAGCCCGATATAACCCTGCTACTGTCAATGTCAGGATAAGCAGACACCATACACTTCTGCTGATGTCAATGTCAGGATAACCAGCCTCCATTAAATCCTGCTCCTGTCAATGTCAGGTATAGCAGCCTCCATAAACTTCTGCTACTGTGAATGTCAGGACAATCAGCCCCGATAGACCCTGCTACTGTCAGTGTAAGACAATCAGCCCCGATATAACCCTGCTACTGTTAATGTCAGGATAGCGATAGGACCCTGCTACTGTCAATGTCAGGATAATCATATAATCCTGCTACTGTCCATGTCAGGATTATCAGCCCCGATAGAACCCTGCTACTGTGAATGTCAGGATAATCATATAATCCTGCTACTGTCAATGTCAGGATAATCAGCCTCCATAAACTTCTGATAATGTCAATGTCAGGAGAACCAGCCTCCGTTAAATCATGCTACTGTAAATGTCAAGAAAACCAGTCTCCATAAACTTCTGCTACTGTAAATGTCAGGATAATCAGCCTTCATTATATCCTGCTACTGTAAATGCCAGGACAATCAGCCTCCATTAAATCCTGCTACTGTAAATGTCGGGATAATCAGCCTCCATTATATCCTGCTACTGTAAATGCCAGGATTATCAGCCCCGATAAAACCCTGCTACTGTTATTGTCAGGATAGTCAGCCTCCATTAAACCCTGCTACGGTCAATGTCAGGAAAATCAGCCTCCATTAAATCCTGCTACTGTCAATGTCAGGAAAATCAGCCTCCATAAACTTCTGATAATGTCAATGTCAGGATAACCAGCCTCCGTTTATTCCTGCTACTGTAAATGTCAGGATAACCAGCCTCCATTATATCCTGCTACTATAAATGCCAGGATAATCAGCCTCCATTAAATCCTGCTACTGTCAATGTCAGGAGTATCAGCCCCGAAAGAACCCTGCTACTGTCAATGTCAGGATAATCAGCCCGATAGAATCCTGCTACTGTCAATGTCAGGATAACCAGCCTCCGTTAAATCCTGCTACAGTAAATGTCGAAATAAGCAGCCCCCATAAACTTATGCTACTGTAAATGTCAGGATCATCAGCCCGATATAACCCTGCTACTGTCAATGAAAGGATAAGCAGACACCATAAACTTCTGCTGATGTCAATGTCAGGATAACCAGCCTCCATTAAATCCTGCTCCTGTCAATGTCAGGATAACGATAGAAACCTGTTAATGTCAATGTCAGGATAATCATATAATCCTGCTACTGTTCATGTCAGGATTATCAGCCCAGATAAAACCCTGCTACTGTCAATGTCAGGATAGACAGCCCCGATAAAACCCTGCTACTGTCAATGTCAGGATAATTAGCCCCGATAAAACCCTGCTACTGTGAATGTCAGGATAGTCAGCCCCGATAAAACCCTGCTACGGTCAAGGTCAGGATAGTCCCGATAAAACCCTGCTACTGTTAATGTCAGGATAGTCCCGATAAACCCCCACTACTGTTAATGTCAGGATAGTCAGCCCCGATAAAACCCTGCTACGGTCAAGGTCAGGATAGTCCCGATAAAACCCTGCTACTGTCAATGTCAGGGTAATTAGCCCCGATAAAACCCTGCTACTGTGAATGTCAGGATAGTCAGCCCCGATAAAACCCTACTACTGTCAATTTCAGGATAGTCCCGATAAAACCCTGCTACTGTCAATGTCAGGATAGTCCCGATAAAACCCTGCTACTGTTAATGTCAGGATAGTCCCGATAAAACCCTACTACTGTTAATGTCAGGATAGTCAGCCCCGATAAAACCCTGCTACTGTCAATGTCAGGAAAGTCCCGATAAAACCCTGCTACTGTCAATGTCAGGAAAGTCCCGATAAAACCCTGCTACTGTCAATGTCAGGGTAATTAGCCCCGATAAAACCCTGCTACTGTGAATGTCAGGATTATCAGGTTCGATAAAACCCTGCTACTGTGAATGTCAGGATTATCAGGTTCGATAAAACCCTTCTACCGTGAATGATAGGATAATCAGCCCTGGTAGAACCCTGCTACTGTCAATGTCAGGATAGTCAGCCACGATAAAACCCTGCTACTGTCAATGTCAGGATAGCCCCGATAAAACCCTGCTACTGTCAATGTCAGGATTATCAGGTTCGATAAAACCCTGCTACTGTGAATGTCAGGATTATCAGGTTCGATAAAACCCTTCTACCGTGAATGTTAGGATAATCAGCCCTGGTAGAACCCTGCTACTGTCAATGTCAGGATTATCAGCCCCGATAGAACCCTGCTACTGTCAATGTCAGAATTATCAGGTTTGTTAAAACCTTGCTACTATGATTGTTAGGATAATCAGCCCCGGTAGAACCCTGCTACTGTCAATGTCAGGATAGTCAGCCATGATAAAACCCTGCTACTGTCAATGTCAAGATAGACAGCCCCGATATAACCCTGCTACTGTCAATGTCAGGATAGTCAGCCCCGATAAAACCCTGCTACTGTCAATGTCAGGATAGTCAGCCCCGATATATTCCTGCTACTGTGAATGTCTGGATTTTTAGCCGCGATAAACTATCAGCGGCGATAAAAACCTTCTCCAGTTAATGTCAATATATGATTTATCATTCTTTTTTGTTTCATGTGTATAATATATACAGGTGTCATTGAAAGTGTTCGGATTGTAATGAAATCTCTGAGGAATTTTGCTGGGATATTACGGAAGTCTTTTATGGTCCTAAAGAAGGCTGTAGTAGAAATAGGTAAGTGCCATGTTCAAACCTTCCGGTCGTCCACAACCTTAAATTATTTTCCAAAAAATAACATCGACTATCTGCAGATATCTCTTCACTTAAGCATCACTACATTCTCTTCACATATAAGACACCTAAACAAACTAGAACTACGAAGATTTATATTCTCCCAAACTGACAGTGAAGGGTTCTGTTTATGTAGGAATTATTCATATAATTGGTTCTTTGTACATACAGTGTATATGGATTTCCTGTTTATTTAAAAAAGTCTTGATTTGTTAGTAATATATTCCGAAAGCGGTTTTATAATGCGTTTTCCATTACACAGATGAAAATTGATAGAAACTCTAGATATTTGGATTTTCAAAACTATATCAACACAATAATTGCGTATCTGAAATATACATACATAAAAGGAAACCCATTTATGTTTCTTTTATTGTATAAAGTACTTACAAAGACAAAACAGTCTTTGCATAAAAAAGTGTGTGAATTAGTAACTTCTTCATTAAGACTCGTCAGTTTGGAAGTATGTGCTATCAAAGTTTTACTTTCTTCACAAACCAACTGTATTAAACGTGTCGCAACGTTTCAAGACCGACTGGTCCCTTTGTCAAGCTATGACTGAGTGAGACCGACTGGTCCCTTTGTCAAGCTATGACTGAGTGAGACCGACTGGTCCCTTTGTCAAGCTTTGACTGTGTGAGACCGACTGGTCCCATGGTCAAGCTATGACTGAGTGAGACCGACTGGTCCCTTTGTCAAGCTTTGACTGTGTGAGACCCACTGGTCCCATGGTCAAGCTATGACTGAGTGAGACCGACTGGGCCCTTTGTCAAGCTTTGACTGAGTGAGACCGACTGGTCCCTTTGTCAAGCTATGACTGAGTGAGCGATTTGTATTTGTTGAGTCATAGCTTGACAAAGAGACCAGTCGGTCTTGAAACGTTGCTTCACGTTTAATACATGCATTGTTTACGTAGAAAGTTAAACTTTGATATTAAATTAGTAACTTAGAATTTAGGCTTTACTCCATTTTGAATGTTCTTTTAAATCACAATTCTAGCTTTCCCTGCTATTATTGGGTAAGAGTTGCTTAAACAAATCTTATTAATTGTGTAGATAAGTAAATACTTTGTTGTTTGTAGTAAATGTGTACTTAAACAACCGTCCCTGTACCTCTGCGTCTGAAGAGAAAAAAATATAAATAAATAATACCGTTCTAATTGATCTATATCAAAATCAATATCTTTGCACTTTAACAGAAATACATTTGGATATTTGTCAGTGTTAAAATATATCCTTTTTATCAAAATGATAGATAGAGGCCCTTGTGTTGATATTGCAGTCTCGGATTGATACTGGGTGTGATATGGAAAAAGGCATGCTTTATTCTGTTTATTACATACTTACTATTAAACACTACTACCTTATAATCAATTTTTCTTTTGAAATATTGAAAAACGAAAAAATAATCCAAAAGAGGTGTGATGCGGGTTTTGCGGACTGTTACGGGTTTTGGGGTGTGATACGGGTTTTGCGGGCTGACGGGTTTTGCCGGCTGATACGGGTTTTGGGGTGTGATACGGCGAGGGCTGATATGGGTAAGAGCAAATGAGTCGTGTCGCATATACAAAAAACCCGTATTTATTAGTAAGTATGTAAAAAAATCCAATACATCTCTGGTGAAATGTTATAATAAATGAAGTTAATATTATCATTATTTTCTGGTATATAAATCGTATAGACCAGGGTAGTTTTGCCACCTAAAATAGTGTACAGGAAAGTTTACATTACATAATACTAACAAGATGATAGTGCTAGCCTCTCACTGCCGTTGACATCATTTGTTTTTAAGATTTTACAGTGGTTTTACTCAAGAGCCAGAAGTCAAACCCCGTACCAGTCCGACGGCGTTCAATCTGCCGCAACATCTCACCAGTTTGAATTTCGGTCACACGTATTGTGTTTCAATTAATACCATTCTGCAACATTGTTTGTTTTTGTTGACAGCTGCGTCAATAGGGCGAGTCCTTTCCTGGTTAAAGAGTATCGTGATTGTTTGTAACAACAAGATGGGAGAACCGTACCGAAAATGTACGTCTGCCTTTGATAAAGCCGAACACAACTGCAGGTAACTAATTATGTTTTGTACATAAAGTGATTAAAGGCATTTTTTTTTTACTGCAAAAATACATATATTTTAGCAATGGTAACAGGTGTTGTTTTCATATTGTAGCAATGTTATAAGGTTATAATATTTTATGCTGAAGCGATGTTAACAGATATTGTTTACACAATGTAGCGATGATAACAGGTATTATTTGCAAATCGAAACGATGTCAACAACTATTTTTTTATGTCACCTAAGACAAAGTCTCAAGTGACCTATTGCGATCGCCTTTTGTCCGGTGTCGTCCGTCGTCCGTCGTGCGTCCGTAAACAATTTACATTTTCGACTTCTTCTCCAAAACCCCTAAACCAATTTCAATGAAATTTTGCAGAATCCTACCATGGCCAAAGGTCAACTAAAATTGTGAATAATATGGTCCCCAGCCCTCAGGGTCCTGAGAGGCGGGGCCAAAAAGGGTCAAATTGACTAAAATTTCAAAAATCTTCTTCTCAAGATCCAGATATGGTAGAATCAAATACTCTTCATAGATGGAAGGGTCTTAAGGTGCTTTACCGAAATTGTGAATTTCTTGACCCTGGGGTCTCACGTTTCCCCCTGGGGAGGGGGTAAACTTTACTATAGTTTATATAGGGAAAACACATTTTGGACCAACATTTGTTTAATTTCCATTGGAAGTAATTCAATTTGGGTTAGCATTATCAGTATTGGATGGCAGTTTGATGGTATGCTTATATCAGCCCTGACTAACCCCCCGGGGCTGATGGGTGGGCCCAAAAAGGGTCGAATTGCCTGAAATTTTAAAAATCTTCTTCTCAAGACCCAGATATGGTAGAATCAAATACTCGTCCTAGATGGAAGGGTCTTAAGGTGCTTAACTAAAATTGTGAATTTCATGACCCTGGGCTCTTACGTTTCCCCCTGGGGAGGGGGTAAACTTTACTATAGTTTATATAGGGAAATCACATTTTGTACCAACATTTGTTCAATTGTCATTGGAAGTAATTCAATTTGGGTTAGCATTATCAGTATTGGATAGCAGTTTGATTTATTGTTTGATTGAATTACTTCCAATGGCACATATCTGCCCTGACTGACCCCCAGGGGCTGATGTGTGGGGCAAAAAAGGGTCGAATTGACTGAAATTTCAAAATCTTCTTCACAAGACCAGATTTGTTAGAATCAAATACTCTTCATAGATGGAAGGGTCTTAAGATTCTTTACCAAAATTGTGAATTTCATGACCCTGGGCTCTTACGTTTCCCCCTGGGGAGGGGGTAAACTTTACTATAGTTTATATAGGGAAATCACATTTTGGACCAACATTTGTTTAATTGCCATTGGAAGTTATTCAATTTGGGTTAGTATTATCAGTATTGGATGGCAGTTTGATGGTATGCATATATCAGCCCTGACTGACCCCCCGGGGCTGATGGGTGGGGCCAAAAAGGGGCGAATTGCCTGAAATTTCAAAAATCTTCTCCTCAAGACCCAGATATGGTAGAATCAAATACTCTTCATAGATGGAAGGGTTTTTAGGTGCTCTACCAATATTGTGAATGTTATGACCATAGGGTCTCACGTTTACCCCTGGGGAAGGGGGGGGGGGATTTGTTATGGTTTATAATGGCAAATGATACTTTGAATATTACATGTTGATAACTTGATTGGAATTATAACCCTGAGTTGACAGTTTGATACTTTGAAAATTTTGAACCAGCCCTTCCCCAAGGGATGTAGGGTGGGGCTCAATGGAGTCCGTGTGCTAAAATTAAATTTCTTCACTTTCCTTATTTAGAATCAGAGGTGCTAGTTTCAAATACTTTCCAGGTGTTGTTATTGTTACCATATTTTAACAATAATACAAGATATTGTTTACACATTGTAGCAATAATAGCAGGTATTGTTTACACATTGTGGCAATAATAGCGGGTGATTTTTACACATTGTAACAATAATACAAGGTATTGTTTACACATTGTAGCAATAATAACAGGTATTGTTTACAGATTGTAGCAATAATAGTAGGTGTTGTTTACACATTGCAGCAATAATAGCAGGTGTTGTTTACAGATTGTAGCAATAACAGTAGGTGTTGTTTACACATTGTGGCAATCATAGCGGGTGTTTTTTACACATTGTAACAATAATACAAGGTATTGTTTACACATTGTAGCAATAATAACAGGTATTGTTTACAGATTGTAGCAATAACAGTAGGTGTTGTTTACACATTGTAGCAATAATAACAGGTATTGTTTACAGATTGTAGCAATAACAGTAGGTGTTGTTTACACATTGTAGCAATAATAACAGGTATTGTTTACAGATTGTAGCAATAACAGTAGGTGTTGTTTACACATTGTAGCAATAATAACAGGTATTGTTTACAGATTGTAGCAATAACAGTAGGTGTTGTTTACACATTGTAGCAATAATAACAGGTATTGTTTACAGATTGTAGCAATAACAGTAGGTGTTGTTTACACATTGTAGCAATAATAACAGGTATTGTTTACAGATTGTAGCAATAACAGTAGGTGTTGTTTACACATTGTAGCAATAATAACAGGTATTGTTTACAGATTGTAGCAATAACAGTAGGTGTTGTTTACACATTGTAGCAATAATAACAGGTATTGTTTACAGATTGTAGCAATAACAGTAGGTGTTGTTTACACATTGTAGCAATAATAACAGGTATTGTTTACAGATTGTAGCAATAACAGTAGGTGTTGTTTACACATTGTAGCAATAATAACAGGTATTGTTTACAGATTGTAGCAATAATAGTAGGTGTTGTTTACACATTGTAGCAATAATAACAGGTATTGTTTACAGATTGTAGCAATAATAGCAGGTGTTGTTTACACATTGTAGCAATAAAAGCAGATGTTATTTACACATTGTAGAGATAATAGCAGGTGTTGTTTACACAGTGCAGCAATAATAGCAGGTATTGTTTACACATTGTAGAGATAATAGCAGGTGTTGTTTACAAATTGCAGCAATAATAGCAGGTATTGTTTACACATTGTAGCAATAATAGCAGGTTTTGTTTACACATTGTAGCAATAATAGCAGCAGGTATTGTTTACACATTGTAGCAATACTAGCAGGTATTGTTCACACATTGTAGCAATAATAGCAGGTGTTGTTTACACATTGTAGCAATAATAGCAGGTATTGTTTACACATTGTGGCAATCATAGCAGGTGTTTTTTACACATTGTAACAATAATACAAGGTATTGTTTACACATTGTAGCAATAATAACAGGTATTGTTTACAGATTGTAGCAATAATAGCAGGTGTTATTTACACATTGCAGCAATAATAGCAGGTATTGTTAACACATTGCAGCAATAATAGCAGGTGTTGTTTACAAATTGTAGCAATAATAGCAGGTGTTGTTTACACATTGTAGAGATAATAGCAGGTGTTGTTTACACATTGCATCAATAATATCAGGTATTGTTTACACATTGTAGCAATAATTGCATCAATAATAGCAGGTATTGTTTACACATTGTAGCAATAATAGCAGGTTTTGTTTACACATTGTAGCAATAATAGCAGCAGGTATTGTTTACACATTGTAGCAATACTAGCAGGTATTGTTCACACATTGTAGCAATAATAGCAGGTGTTGTTTACACATTGTAGCAATAATAGCAGGTATTGTTTACACATTGTTGCAATAATAGCAGATATTGTTTACACATTGTAGCAATACTAGCAGGTATTGTTTACACATTGTAGCAACACTAGCAGGTATTGTTTACACATTGTAGCAATAATAGCAACAGTATTCTTTACATATTGTAGCTATGTTAACAGTAATCTTTACATATTGTTGCTATGTTAACAGTATTCTTTACATATAGATGAGATGTAAGTATGCATTATTCATGTATTGTAGCTATGTTTAAAGATATTGTTGATGTATTGTAGCGATGTAAACAGGTATAGAAAATATTTTGTAGCTATGTTAACATGTGTTGGTTACATAGTGTAGTGAATTGATATTTGACTGCATGTTGAAGCAATGTAAACAGGTATGGTTTACATATAGTACGTAGCGGTGAATTTAGGTATTGTTTCCATATTAAGTTGATGATAGGTATTGTTTAAATACTGTAGCAATAATAACGGGTATTGTTTACATATTGTTGATGTTGATAACAGGTATCTTTTACATATTGTTTGGTTTGTTTGTGTTTTACGTCCTATAAACAGCTATGGTCATTTAAGGATGACCCAGGTTTTTATTGGCGGAGGAAAGCCGGAGTTCTCGGAGAAAACCACCGACCTACGGCCAGTACCAGGCTTCGGTATCACAAACGTGATACCGAAGCCTGGCGATTGCCCCACGTAGGCCTCGAATCCGCAATGGTGGAGGGCTTGTGGTAGCAGAATGCCAGACGTTTTAATCACTTGGCCACCGCGGCCCTTTACATATTGTAACGATATCTGTTTTTAATCGCTACAATGTGTTGGTTACATAGTTTAGCGATGTGAACAGATATTATATCACTTCAACATGTAATATAATATCCGTTCACATCGCTAAACAACACCTGTTTTGAATCGCTACAAAATTTACATATTGGAAACATGTATTGTTTACATATTGTAGCGATGAATTCAGGTATAATTTACATATTCTAGCTACTACTAGCTATGATATTAGGTATTGCTTTCATGTTAAAGTGATATTAAGGATGTATACCTCTGAGAAGTCAAAACATTTCTGTATTAAACGTTTTTCTTATTTGCATTTTTTGGAAAAAGGAGTTAATGGCATAGCAGAAAATGTAAAAAGAATGATATGTCCGTGTGCTCGTTTTTGTGCTTTGATCGGTCAAAGATACCAATTTGACATAATATGTGATTTTAGGTGATTTTTGTCGGTTTTGACCATTTGCAGGACAGATTCATACAATATCTTCCAAATGTTGTGAGCTTTGTATGAATGTTTACAGAACTGACAAAAATAGTAT